GGAAAAAAGATTGAGGCGTTGACATTGTCGACTGATTTCATTGCAAAACAAACTGAGAAATCCAAATTTTCTGTGGTGGTAAAACTACAGAAAATAACCAAAGAAATGAGAAGTGAAACCCATAGAAGAGGGGATCGCATCTGATCACAGTGAAACTATGAATCGAGAATCCCGGAGGAAGGATAATGAAGCGTATAATTTCGAGAGTAATCGAGCCTGTCTGTTGTATTGCAGATACTATTTAGCCTCCATAATTTTTGGAGATTAACACAACACACTCCTTCAGATGTGTCCAGTAAAATGATGTGTTACGGAAAGGGAATGGGATGCAGGCATTTTTTGATTCTAGTTGTTCCAGACTTACGACTACGACGCAAAACAATATATATATATATAACCGGCTTGAGGCCAAACATGGTATCAACGCAACAGCAGTGATAATAACGATAGGATTGCGTACAGATTATTGAAATAAAAATGAAAAAGAGAACAGGCAGAATAAATAAAGAGGTAATACACTGTTAGTTTCGCCACACATTTTTTGATTTTTTTAAATCTATTTTGAGAAATAGGATTTCAACAGGCCCGTACAACAATCGCCCCACTGATCATCAGTAAACCCTGATCCCTTGGGTCCAAAGCTGGAAGACGGGCAGCACCAACCGAAGTCAAAGCTGAGGTCAGCTTCTTCATACCTCTACGCCATGTCATGGTCTGACCGCCGCGGCTCTTCTTCCAGCCCTGCCCGGCACGTGCGAAGAGAGCACGAAAAGGTAGTCGATGGGCAGGCATACGCAATACGCGACCAAGCCATCGGAGGCAGTGTAGAGCGATTACTTCTATTAGCTTCCTTGTATGGAACTTCAGGATCACTCATGAAACCGAGTTCTTCTCTCCAATGAGACAGTTGAAGTGCACTAAACATCTCCAAATCCCCGCAAAACTGTAACAGTAAAATTTCAGTTGGGCGAACCGCATAAGGACTGCTTCGCATAGTCCTAATCGGCTCTCTCTATGTGAACTGGGGGTGTCTGTTCAGAGAAGGCATTCGAACAATTGCGAAGAATTACTCGCATGCGTTGTAGAGCTGAGTGGGTTCACGAGTTTCACGAGAAAAAGGCACGAATGAGAAAGACAATGAGTTAAAGGGAATGATCAGCTGTTATCAGTTTAAGTTAGTTCAGTTGTTTACAACCAATAACCATGCACTTTCGTGCACGATTGTTATTTGAGGCTGCTCATCTGGATAAAATAGAGCAGAAGATTGGAATGTTGTAAACGGAGACCAAGAGAACATTGACAATCCATATGGACTAGGGTTACAAAGATAAAGAGCACGGGCGTCACAGTTTGCGACGGTCAACCATGTCCATCAGTGTATTTGACCAATGGTTACCACGATTTCGAAGTCCCCATTCAGGGAGCCTAACGGAACCCATATGACCGAGTCCCTTGGTTACATTTTTCATACCCTCATGCCAGGTCTTACATTGATCACCCTTGTCCTTTATCCATACACCACCTGTTTCAGAAAACATGACGCGCCGTGGCAACCTATTTGGTGACATGCGCAATACAGGTCCCAACCGCCGCAGTCTATGGAGATCGACTATTTGTTCCGGTGGACCACTGCGATTATCTCAAACTCCCCGTCTAACCGGAGCGTTGCACGTGCTGTTTCCCCACCAGATTCAAGTAATGCGGTCTGGATAGCGATCCACAAACACTGACAGATTATCTTTATCCCGTTTTTGTGAGGGCCAAGTTTGTACGCTGTATAGCAGAAATGTCCGTACTGCTACAGCACATACACTCGACCCTTCACAGACAGCCGGATGTCGCGACAGCGCCGCGGATGCCTCAAGTAAGTAAACGTCAACCGAACCTTCTGTGTGCGAGTCGACACTTCATCTGTGATGCGTCCGCCGAGTGAGATACAGCTGCCCAAAAAGCAAAACTTGTACTCTTGGTCTATTACATCCCGAATTAGAGTGATGCTGGAAGCTGGACTGTCCCCGGTCTTGTAGAAATATTTTACACTTTGAAGGCGCAAAACGCTTGCCAACCATGGCTACACCAGCGTTTGAAATGTCTAGGAAAACATGCAGCTTACCCGGATCCTCCGTTACCTGAACAATATCGTGTGCATACTCCAAATCAAGCGGTCTGCCTTCCGGGAGCAACTAGCTGGCACTATCATCGCACAAAGACAGGGCTGTGATCATGATCAAATCTATAACGAGGTTAGATAAAAAGAGGCGTGGAAACGTAGTGTATACGACCTCAACCAGGTCTAAAACCAGGCTGGTTCTCGTGTATGCACTCTTCACGTGCGGCAGACAATCGACGGAGTGTGATGCCAACGACAACTTCAGAGAGGATTTTGACTGCGCTAATTTCTCAGTGGTTTTCACGAGATCTATCACCATCCTTGTAAATCGGTGAGATGACCGATTCACACCATACAGTCGAAACTGACCCCTCACCCTTAAAAGGCGATGGAGAAAGCCCGTCCAAAGCAGCCCTACCACTTCGAGTCTGTAGCGAACGACGGGCCCCAATTATTTCGTTTGATGACTCGCGACCAGTGAATTGAAGATGACGCACGGGTTCGCAGTACACATCCGTACGGATTGGAAGAATTCAATTCGATCTTCAAACGAATGCATTTCAGGTACTCAGGTAGAATATGTTTAGTTAGAGACACTGAGCGATATGGCTGGGTGTCGTAAATAGTGGCATTCGTGCATCTCATCAGTTTCTTTGCAACCTTAGACCACTGAACTTCTCCATTTTCCTTTCGACTCCACTTTCCACTTTCCTTTCTTCTCCTATTCTTCATCCAAATGGGCAGCCAAAAGACAGTAACCAAAACCGGCGCACGAAAGTGCATGGTTAATGGTTGTTCAAACTGAAACTGAAACTGAAACTGAAATATGTTTAGTGCGAACAGTCCATGAACTTAGGAAGCACGAGTGTTTCAAATTTAAAAATCATTCCTACTGACCACATAGTGATTCACTGAAAAAATAGTTTAGTGAAAGGAAGAAAAGAAAACGTGGAATATTCAACTCTCTCTCTCTCTGACACTTCAGTGATCCTGGCTCGTTGCGAATAAGCCAAGATCAAGCGGTACCAAGCCGATGGCTTGTAGTTGTCCCTACCCGTATATGCCTTTTTACAAGAATGACTATTGAATAAAGTGAACTATTTTCTGTCATGGTCGGAGGTGGCTTATCGCTCGAAGCCCCAGGGCCTAGGTGGCCGTTTACCATCGATAAACAGCATAAATGTGAGGCATTGTAAAGAGAGGAAGGGTGAGATATCGTGTCGAATAAATGGGCAAAACAAAGCGGATAGAACGTTAGAATACCTGAAGAAAACGATAGATAGGACTAGTGAAAAGGAAAACAAACACCGATTGAAGAAGTGAAGAGGGAAGGTGGGTGCAAATCTCCGCAGGTTGCGAACCTTCTGGAGACATTTGAGCGGTGTGTGTGTGTGTGCACGTGTTGTCAAAACGACAC